TGCTCAGGTCCCTTCTGATCCTAGAAACTATGAAACTATTAAAAAGCAAGGCTCAAAATAATTGCAGTTCAGTTCACTGTCTCATCTGAAAAATATCATATGTAGCAGCACAGCATCCTTTGTTGTTTCCAAGCAATGTTATTAGGTATGCAAGATTTATGGTCAGCTGGCATAAAGGACCATAACTCCATTGAAGTCAGGAGGTTAGGGTAGAGGCATTGGCCTTTGGAATCCATAATATTCTACTACAGAAATGCAAGCACATCTAATTCAATCTAACTTGCATATACTATGAAAGTGATGTTGCGAACATTAAGAATGCTGAGGTATAAATTTGAATAACAGTAAAAATAAATCTTATTGTATTGGGTAGTTTTAAAATTATTTCTTAAGAAAGAGAAATGTTTTCTAGCTAGAATTATCAGTGTCTCTCTTGTTTTCTCCAGCTGAAGCCTCATCTATGAAGATGATCACAGATACAGTTTGGATAAAATATATTTGTGCTTTAACAAGTAGGGCCCTGATCCAGCTAAGCACTTAGGCTAGGTATAGAGGTCACAATGTGCGTTAAGCATGCAAAACGCGCTTTAAAGCTGTAACAGAATAGACTTCACAGCACATAAAGCACTTAAAAATGGTGGAACCCTCTATAATTTAACTCTTGGTGGATGTGGTATTAGACTAAAGCACTTTAGGTTAGAGCACTTTTTTGAAGATCTGTACTACATCTATTGTACTTTAATGAAAGTCACATTCTGTCACCATCCCAGGGCCCTTCGTTGTGTGGCTTGATCACCTCTGCTGGTGCTCACCCAGAGTAGATGAAAAATGGCCCAGCTCTGCCACTGAGCTGTCACAGAGAGGAGACAGAAAAGGTTCTATTTACACTCTGTACTGTGGTGGTGGAAGGGAAAGGGAAACCTGGAGATACCCCGTAAGCTTGTGGACGTGGGTCTTGGTGGCAGTCAAGCTGGTCCACATGGCAGAAAGGCTTTGTTTCCCCCTCACCCCTGGCCCCAGTCCCCAGCTTCTGGCTGTCATTGTCAGGAGGCTTGGGTGGGGCAGGGAAAGGAGCCCCACAGCTTGCTGGCCGGGGTTGCTCAAGGGAGGGGCAGGGGGAGGGGGCTGTATCCTTGTAGCAGGCGGGCTCATTTCCCCTCCCTCGGCCTTTTGACAGCTGCAGCCAGAAGCTGCTGCATGGAGCTGTCTGGCTGGCTTTTTGCCACACTGGGAACTGGGGCAGGGGACAGGGGGAAAGGAGCCCCCCCTGTCACAAGCTCCCCCCCCACCACAGCTTGCTGGCTGCGGTCTTGGAGGGACACAGAGTTGGGTCCACATGATAGGGGGGCTTTCTCTCCCTCCCCCCACCCCTGGCCCCAGTTCCTGGCACAGAGAAAAGCTGGACTGGGCAGCCCCACAGCTGTGCAGATCTGCCCCCCTCTTTCCCCTAAGACCCCAGCCAGGAAGCTGGGGGGGCGCTCATGGCAGAGAGGCTCTGTGCCCTCCCCCCCACTCTCCATGCAGCTGCTGATGACAGTCACTAGCTGGCTGGGGAGTTAGGCCTGGGAGAGTGGCCACCCCTCACCTGTTGGCCTTGGCCAGTACAAGCAGGCACCAAGCCTCCACCACTGAATGGTAAATATCTGTTCAGTTCATTCCCACTCTAACATATAGCACTTTAAGTAAAATGTGATAGTTAGAGCACTTTCGCCAGGTGCTTTTTGAATGGCTGTAGTTAGCTTTAATCATCTCTGTAACTTGAATTCCATGTGCCATTGAAGTTAATGGAAGTTTTCTTGTGCTTAAAATTATGCTGAAGGAAATAATATTTTAGCATGTTGTGGCAAGGCTGACATTTAAGGCAAATTAAATGAAAGTATATAGAATAATTTCCCCCCCACTTTCCTCTTGTTTTCTAGGAATATAAAGCTACATCTGTCCCTTCAGTGATTTATGACTACAAATAAGCTTTTACAGCAATTGCTTCCACCTACTGTTCTGGCTTCTTCTGCTGTTAGTCAATAGAAGAGGAGTGTTGAACGCAAAACAAGTATTCCTAATAAGCAGAGAAACTCCATACAGTATGTTTTGCACCAAACTGAAAGACTTGAAGATCACTGGGGAGTGTCCTTTCTCGTTACTGACCCAAAGTCACATTTCTGATGAAAATGAGGAGGAAAGTACAGAAGAGTCAAACAGTTCTAGAGCAGCTCTGCCCATCTGCAAAGAAGTCCATGAAAAAGATGCTCATGGAAACCCACCCCAAAGGAAAACTAGCAGGAACAGAGTGTATCTACACACATTAGCTGAGAGCATCTGTAAACTGCTATTTCCTGAGGTAAATGATTTCAGGATATTGAGAAAAAATATTTTATGTAGCCTGTTGTTATTATAATTATTATTGTTTAGATTTATAGAGAAATACATTAATATAAAATGCATTTTAAACAAGCCTTTAGACTGCCTTTGTGTTGAGTTCAAGCTTCTTGTTCTTTCTTTAAGGCTTTGAATAGCTTTGTCTTTGTCTACATTTGTGCTCTCATTTGTTCTTTCTCCCACACTTCCATTTTGCATCCTTCTACCACTCTTCCATCCCTTCTTCCATTTTGGCCAGTACTTTTCAAAAGCTTCTTTTCTATATTTACATTAGAACAGCTACTTTTTCTTCATTTTAATCACTTCTTAAATTTTAAATCTTTACTCCTTCTTCAGATGCTTTTACATAATGCACAACAAACAGGTGAATAAAGCTTTATAGGTAAAAATCTTCAATAGCTCTTCCGTCCAGCTTCTATACTAAGTTTCTTCTGGGATATTACTTTCTAAAATTGTATTGTCAGTGTTTGATTTAGGGCTTGCAACCCTTACTCCTTCTTAAGTAGTTCTTCTAAAGTCAGCAACACTACCCAGGTGAGCAAGGAATGCAGTATTGAAGACGGGCCCATTTGGGTCAGTGAGGTTTGCCAAATGTGACACTTGGTCTGATTGAAGCTGAAACTATTTCTTATCCTGTGATTTTTTATGGCACTAAACACATCTTCTATGTTGAATAAGGACTACAAATATAATAATGATTTTAAAGATATTTAAGACATATTTCCACAGGCAAAACTTAAAAGGCCTGTGACAGTTCAAAATAAGGATTTCATATATCTGACTAAAACTAGATGATCACTCAAATTCCACACTGGAAAGGCTCAATCTCAGTTTAAAAAACAACTGGTAGGACACTTGATTTTTTTCCCCCCCAAGTACAAAAATCATAGAAATTGTGCAAATAGTGAAGGATTCAAACTGGCAGCCTCCATTGGTGTCAATGGTAGTTTGGTAGATTAGATATAAGTTCTGAGGGCCTGACTGAAAAAAAGGAGCCAGGCAAAACGGCATCATTTTTTAAATTCACCTGCTTGACCTTCAAGAGACTAATGTTGGCTCAGTTCCATGGTATGTGTGATGTTGTGAGTACAGTATAGGCTGCGACCTTGCAAAGAATGGAATTGCTGGTCTCAGTGGTAAAGATGGTTGTCATAACATCTAAGAAGAAAAATGGAAGTTTTCAGTTGTTAACGTGCCTAGCATCTCAAATAGCTAGGCCTGCAGGTATGGAATATATTGCCAAACATTCTGGAATTTTTGCTAAATGTACTTCCAGGTCAGGTTTCACAGGTCTTCCATTTCCTGCCTCCTAGTTATATTTCTCCACTATTTATATTTAATAGACTTTTTACCTCGGCCTGCTGCATTTACATAAAAGACATCCATCATTTAAACACACTCAGTTATAGATAAAGGGGAAATTAAATTCTGCAGATGAATGCTTTGGCAAAGTGCCCTCTTCAGTTGATTCTAGAATTAAGATATTCTCTTTCACCCAAGTACTTCTTTCTCATCTATTTTTATTTTCTTCTTGATATGTTTTCCACCTTTTTTAACAAAATAGATTTCTTCTTATATAGAAAAGTGTTGTAACACATGCAAGGCCTACAAAGGATAGAGGATGGGATTCACCTCTAAGGAGGATTATTCTGCACTGCTCCGGTCCTGCAGGGAGCAAACCAGGAAAGCCAAGGCTGCAACTGAACATCAACTAGCTTCGAGCATCAAGGACAATAAAAAGTCCTTTTTCAGATATGTGGGGAGCCGGAGGAAAAGCAAGGGCAACATTGGACCCCTGATGAAT